TCCATTGACTTCAATACATAATTTTTCCGAAATAAGGTCCCATGGAGGTCCACCGGAAGGGGAGGGACTTCGCATCTCTATACATACCGTTATAATCAGGGTTGCACATAAGTGGTACGCAGGTACGCATGCGCGGCAACAATCTGAAATGCGTACCGTCACTTGTGTCACAAAGCGCATTTGCGTACCGATGTATATGTGAAGCTTTTCCATAAGGCGGTTAGATAACCGGACGACGGAGTCGGTCTCCGTGTGCAAAGACAGGGCTGCTGTTAACGTCGGCCTGTACAGCAGCACTGCGCTAAAACAGCTGATCACAACGTTCACACGCTCTGTGGTCACGAAGCTCTGCACTCTACTACTACCCCCCCCTCGCGATACAGAGGGCTTCATCATACTCCACTAGCACCCCCACCCGCTGATATTCGCGATACAGAGGGCTTCATGGGAACTTTGAGGGGAGCCGGAAGTTGGAGTACCAAACACTGACTCCAGGTACTCATCTGAGTACCTCACTGAGAAAGTTGTGTGCACCCCTGGTTATAATGTTAACCATTTTAGTTTTTTTCATTTAGTTAGACACAGTAATTTTGCATAGTTGTGTATAAAGATAATGCTACACTATTGTTAATAGTATACTATTTGTTTAATTGGATTACGATGGTTTCCAACTCTTTCCAATAGTAATAGGAGTGTTGTTAAGATCAAAAGTGAACATTAAAATGAAATAAATAGATGTGATAACTTTCAAACATCAATAAGAATATATTTCATTCAGCAGTGTCCTAATGAAGCCCACTTGGTCTAGGCTGGAGTATAATGGAAGTCATTAGGATGTATCCTCTGGGCACCATGAATGTCTAAGCAGAATGTCACCCCCATTCATATTCTAACAATTAAGATAGTTCAGTTTCAACCAAAGCTAAATCCTTTATGACTTTTGTGATCCAATGATTTTTTTCTCTATGGTCTGACACTGTGGGCATCCCCTCAGATAAAAGGAGACATACTGTGCGGTGCATTTCCATCTGAGACCTTGGTTTCCTTGCTTGCTAATCTCCTTCAGCACTCTGCTCTCTCCTGGTAAAACCTGCAGTCTCCATATGGTGGTGTCGTACTATCTACCTCTTTACATCCAAAAATGTAACACTGAGGCCGTCATTGTGCATGTTAGCACGAAAGAATTGGAACGTAGTTCATAGGTTTGCTGTACCTAGGAAAAACTTTACAAATGTCTATACATTTACAGGAACAAGTTACATGGATTTAAATACAAAACTAATGGTGTCAATAAAATAAAAAAAGAATGTCAACTCAGGACAACCTAAGATAAGGACATTGGTTTGATCTGCTCAGGTCAAGAATTTCAAATCAATTACAATAAATAATTGTAACTTTCAATGAAACGTCCTATGACCTAAACTACTGTATACCCATCATGCTCCCATCCATCGATATGCAACCTTCCCAAGCTTCCCAGAGTTCATAGTTATTTTAAGATATATATTTTACACAGGAAGCACAATGCAAACAAATTGTGCAATATACAGTATAAACGTATACGAATATACAAATATAGCCATGGCTGTAGACTCTTTTATGGTTTCAACCCGTTCTCTCCGTCTTCTTCTTTCAGCCCTCCAATCTGTCGTGCAGAAGGAGACGTGACCGATGGAAGTATCAAGTTTTCAGCCAACGCCGAATCGTCATTGGATCCCCAGAAAACATGCGGTAAGTCTGCTTCCGTCTACATATTGCACAAAACCCGATCGGACACACAGTTCAGAGTCCACCCACTCCCCGCTGACTCAGGGTGAATCTTTTTGGAGACTCATCCTAAAGTGGGTCAGCAGACCAAAGTTGCTGAATGCTCTCCTCTCCTGCTCGTAATCCCATTAATCTACAAGAAGTGCTCTTTCATGCTGCAACACTTTCATCTCACCTCGATATTTACTGCTAATCTCTCTCTGCTCTTTCTGCCTTCCTCTTTCATCTCTGGCCTGCTTTCATCCATACTTCCATTACCCTGCTTTATTCTGTCCTGATCCATTGTGACCTTAATATTATTATTATAATCATTCATATATGTATAGTTTTATTATATCTTTAAACCCCTAATTGATAGTTTGTGTCGCTTTATTCCACTCATTTCCCCCATAGTGCACGTGTTGTTTGTATTTGGGCTAGTGACAACAATGGGTGAAGGGAATACCGTAGTCTACGGTGGCCGACAGGCGCAAACACCCGAAAACACTTCCATTAGGAAATGAACATCAACATATTGTATTTACATTCCTTGTAAACATTTTAATTTTAATTTTATAATGGTTTATATAATACCATATTTCCATGGCTTGGATATATCTTACAACATTCTCTTGCACTTTTTTATTACTATTCTGTTATTTATTTTACCATTTTTTTTTAAATTGGTTTTCTTTGTTTGATGTCCTATATATATTCATGTTGCACTGTTAGAGGAGCCTGGGACTTCAGTTTTTCATTGCCATATCTAAGTGCTATAAATATTCATACATACCTACACTTCAAATAATAATGTTTTTGATGACCCCCGCCTACCATGTGTCTATCACTACAATACGAAACATATTTCACTTCCATATATAATATCCCTTATTTTTACATTTTAATTTATCTTAGTCTGTTATGTTATGCAACTTTTAAACACCAAAGTATATTCCTCTGCACCTTTCAGGAGGTTTTTCTGAAACCTATGCAGCGCTTTGTGACTACAACGGAATCGGCTGCAAAGAAGAAGTGCAGTGGGTAAGGACGTTTATACATCAAATATATCTAATTTATGTCTTTTACCGCCCCATATTTTTCAGTAACAAGTACTTTGTTTCCTTTCTTGTCATCCTCCCTCTCTTCCCTCCCCTCCTCTGCTCCAGGATGTTGACACTATCTACCACTCTCAGGACAACAGGGAGTTCAACCTAGTGGATTTCAGCCACCTCGACAGCAGGTGACACACTTTGTTAACATTTGCACCACATCCAGTCTGATTACAGTTTGCCAGCATGCACTGATTGCAAAGACACTATGAATGGAAGCTGTGTGTGTGTGTGTGTGTGTGTGTGTGTGTGTGTGTGTGTGTGTGTGTGTGTGTGTGTGTGTGTGTGTGTGTGTGTGTGTGTGTGTGTGTGTGTGTGTGTGTGTGTGTGTGTGTCATTTGAAATGAAGCAGTGAAAATGAGGGTTAGGTGCCTACTTTCAGCGTTTATTTAAGGATGTTTAAATTCACATCAGTGGGCATTTAGGGGACAGGAAGTAGTTAATGCGTGGCTCTCAGTGTGATGCTTCGCCAGATTCTTAGCAGCCATTTTTTATTGTCCGATGTTTTACTTTCTTATCCTACTTATCGGCATTGGGGTTTCAATCCCATTCACTAGCCCCTTCAAAGTTTATGTAATTACTTTACAAGTTTAATGATATGCTGATAGTCTCAAAAGTTTGAATTTTAGACACAATATATCTTTCCTACTTTACTCAAACTTTCCACATCACACTTATGTAAAGCCGTTCACTCATATGAACTTTGTCTTCTTCTCTACCCTCGGATGTTTGTTTTCTTCTGATTTCAAGCCAGCCCTGAGAGAAATGGCATTAACACGCCCACTTGCTCGCTCTGCATGCACAATGATTTACAAAATTCACGATCAGGGTCAAATTGATATGTCATATACGTGTGTTGAATAGAGTATGTGTGAACATTTACCATGAATGTCTCCAAACTAAATTCGATGTCATGAAGTCCAGCCGGTACATTTTTTATGTGAGAAAAACGTTCCCCTTTATCGAAGGAATTTGAAAACAGCCTTCTTTTTTCAAACTCTGCACATCCACACATCATTCTGCACAGTGAAGGTCAAACTTCAGAGTGAAGCAACAGTGAGAAAACACTTTTCTGAGACGACAGGGACCCATTCCGGAACAATATTTGGCCAATTTTCTTTAGCAATTGCCAATCTATTGTACCAGGTTATTTTGTAGAAATATAAGTTAGTTTACAGGGTATGAAATAAAGGTGCTGCGCTGTACATCCGCTCCTAATAATGTCCCCAGCAGTGGAACATATTGCACCCTGTTGTTCCAAGGCAACTACCAGGAAAATATATCATTATCCACCATACTGTGCAGGCAGAGCTGTTGTTGTGAATGTAACTAGGCTATGGACGAGTGTGATTATTCTTCCCCCAGTCAGAATTGGCTGAAAACTCATGTTATTCATGACCCATCTTGTTTGTTGCATTGCAAAAGCTCTTAGCCTTAACTTAAAGCAGAAGTCTTGTCAAAGTAATTCTTCCCTGGGAATTATTTAATTTGAAATGTGTACTGTATCCAGTGTTGAATTTACACTCTCGTGGCACTTGGTCCAAATGACGGGGTTGTATCGTTCTTTAGATTCCTGTATCAAGGGTTATGGTTAATATATTCCCAAACTTCACTTTCCCTGGCAACATTTTCCTAGGGAGGCAGGAAGGTAGCATCCTTACGAGGTGTCCGGACCAACTCATCTGGTTCCTTTCTATGTAAAGGAGCACTGGCTCTACTCAGAGTCCCACATGGATTACTGAACATTTCACCCCATCCCTAACTCTGATGCCAGCTGCAGTTTATATTCGCAATCTGTTTCTGTCGGTCATGACCCACTCTTCAAATCCAATTAGATTTTTTTAAGACATTAACATGTGTAGCTGGACGATTAATTCAGTCAGCCTTCTTTATTCAACTAATACACTTTATTTACATCCCATTTTTGTTTCGGTGCAGATACAAACTGATATATTGCATTTCTGATAGAATATCTGCTCAAGGAGGTTTTAGGAGTGGTTTTCTTTGCCCCCAGTGGTCGATGCACATGCCATGGGACCTGTAATTCAACCTCCATATGCCATCCTTACCAATCAACCAGGACTGAAATGTGTGGGATTGTAACTGCAGCATTTCATTTCAAACCCACTGTGTAGTCCCAAAGCAATAACAGCATATCATTGTCCTAATACTTTAAGACTGAAGTTTTGAAAGACTTTCCGTCCTCATCCTGCTTCACGATGTTCTGCAAGAATTGCTTTCCAGACTTCTGTCAGCCCTGTTCTTACCTGACAGGAGAGTGGCTGCTGGTTTAACAAGACCCTCCCTGGGTAAAGTGTTAAGTGTATTGGTCTGTCGTTCCCTTTCTGGCTCACTTGTTGTCCTGTTTCTCTCCTTAGTTTTTTAAGAAGTGTTGAAAGATCACAAAGAAGTGGAATGATGAGTTTGTCGAAGGCAGAATCCATCACTCACAAACAGCTGTAAAATGCCATATGTCGTCTCCTCTATTCCCCGCTGGTGTCTTTTGAAATCCCCCATTTGCTTTCCCAGACATATTGAGGAAGAGTGTACGTGCCGTAGAGTGCTGCCGATCATAACAACGTTTGACAGCTGACATGCAAAGAGAGCATTCAACATAGCTTCCTCAGCTTTTGATTCCAGGAATGTTTTGTCCAAAGGCCTCTGGGAATTATTCCCTACTTTTTTAATTATTTCTACTTTTCCGTGTAGAAACAACAATTCCAACTGGAGGGGATGCATTCCTATTTAAAATGTGTCTCTAATAACACCGTAGAAGCAAAGCCTTGCTATGCTGCTAAATCAAAAACCCATTCATAGACGCGTGATTGCAGCAGTGACTCATGAATATATTAATATTGTTCATATTGAAAATCGCGTCCTCACTGTTGTTTATCCTCCAATATTTTAAATAGTGTGATAAAGAGAGAGCCTTTGCAGGGGAAGCTGCATACCCAATGCTTTTTTTATATCTTCCTATAAAATATTGTTCCCTTGAGCCCACAATAGAATAATTAAGACTCTCCCTGCTTTTCTACCAAACTTGTATCAAAGATTTCACAAAAGTACTCACAGAAAGGAATCACAAAGACATGCAGAGAAACAATAAAAAAAAAAAAGTCTTTGCATGATGGTGTGCCAGAAACCATTTTGGTGCATTACTTTTTTTCCTCCTCTTCTTGTCCTTCCGTAAATACATCCTTTCAATCTACCCTGATCGAGCCCATGTTACCGCGGGCAACAAAGCAATGTCTTTTTCTGCTGACTGCTGTGCTGTCCGTCCAAACATCGGCTCCACTCATGCCTCCTGACTGAAAGCGGACACCCTTTTTTCTGGCCTTGTCTCGTCCTGTTCATATTCCCTCCTTCACTATTTATTTCCCCCAGCTCTGTTCTTCTAGCTGTCTTCTCTCTGAATCACTCCTCTCATCACAAACAAACACACGCGCTTTGCCTGTCTCTGTTACTTCTGTCTAGCCACTGCAGGTTTACACAATATTGCAGAAAGGACTTTCACCGTGGCTGATTTCTCGTACTTTGCTACTTACATTTGCTATTGCGCTATGAGAAGGGGCACTCAAAATGGTTAAAAGTTTGGTTGGGAACACTCAAGCCCCCAGAAATTCTTCGGACTCTGAGGAAAATATTCGTAGTGGCCAAACGGTGGTACTACATCTTCCGTATCTGTCCGTGACGTCACCTTGTCCAACTTCTCTGTCAGGAATGGATTGTTCGTTCTCTTACTGGAGCAGGACTGGCGCTCTACAGCTCACTGCTACCGTCGGTATTACCTGTCAATGTTAGAGGAAAGAGTCACTGACTGTCCGGGGTTAGACTGTAGCGTTGATTTATTACCATACAGCCTCTTTGCATGCTTCAAAACCAATCATCTTCCATCTGGCTATGAAGGATGGTTGGATCAACCATCAGCCAAATTGCTGTCAAATCTATTTTGAATATTTATAATTAGGGCCGGGACTCGATTAAAAAAATTAATCTAATTTATTAGAGGCTTTGTAATTAATTAATCGAAATTAATCGCATTTTTAACCACATATAAATATTTGACCTGAGAACAGTGAGAAGCAATTTTTTTCACATGGATTTTAGTATACCATTGAATAATGACTGAATACATAAGCTTAAGCAACAAAACATTGTTTATTTTTTTCAAGGTGGTACTTAACCAAGACCAACAGAAAAGTGCAATTTTTGCCATAAAGTGTAGCAATAGCATATTTAGGAATATAGTACATTTCAGAGATTCAGGTAGCCTATAGGTAGGTAGACCTTCTGTAAACTATAACACTTTGTTTTTTATGTAAAACACAATACTTTCAAGTACATTCAGAACATTGGAAACCCTGACTATTAGAAAACATCTCTCTGTTGCTTCAGAGGCCATAACAGACTTTGTTGATATACCAACAGTTGATTTAAAAAATCTAATCAATTTCAGTCCAACTCTCTCAATAACCTTGGCCAAAACAATAAACAGTTCAACATAAAGTGCCAGTTGCACCAACAACGTAATAAATAGTTCAACATAAAGTGTACCATTTAAAATAAAATAAAAAAGTGCCAGTGAAAGGCTAATGTATGACCTCGTGGTTGATTGCCAAGTACTGAAGTCTTGTTGTTGTTTGGTGTCCAACTTGTTATCAGTTTTGTACTTCGCTTCGTTCGACTACTCGTGGCAAAAACCAACGGGCACCTACCCTGTAAAAAAAAATTTTTGCCTGCCTACCTTCGCAGTTATTCTCGTGCCAGAACAACGTTTAATTACGGTTTTTCCTTAAGCGTATAATGGCGTCGTGTAGTTCGGAGTTCATAGTGGAGTCTCGTTTTGGTATATCGTTCGATCGCAAACTGCCGATCGGGCTGAGCCTCATGTTGCGTGGGTGTGGGTTGAAACGCAACTAGGTTTGTCAGCCGGAGTACGTTGTGTCTCAAACCTAAAAAGTAGTCCTATAACTTCCTTGCATCCTACCCTAG